ATCCCCGCATATAAGAAAAATAGCAAGGCAGGAAGTTGCGCTTTGACCCACCTTGGGGGCTTGAACCTCGCTATATCGTGTGTCCCATTCTTTGTTCTAGATGCACCAGTAGCTTGATGTGACGACTACAAATCCATGTACTCATTCTAGTACCGCTATTAGGACACGACGAAAAATCTGTCAATGGGAGTATGATTCCACGCATTAGATTTCAAGTCTTTCTTGCTTGCCTTGGCCCTCACATAAATCCGCCTTTTGGGAAAGCACTTCCTCATGCTCCTTGCAGCCGGAGATTTTTCCTGGCCTCCACAATTCTAGATATGAGCTTACAAGGTTGTCCCCTCATGTTGCCACACTGTATGTGCATTCATTGTGGTGTGCACATCCGTGGTTCTAATCTAAAAAAAATGTAGAATCATGATGAGCAACATTAGGTGTGGTATTAATGACCCACAAGTGTAGGGGATCGCAACAATCTTTGAGGAAAGTATTACAACTCAAGTTTATTGATTTGACACAAGGGGAGCCAAAGAATACTTATAAGCCTTAGCAGTTGAGTTGTCAATTCAACCACACCTGAAAAAGAATACTTGCTCGACATAATCTATTAGTAGCAAAAGCGATGTAGTGATTGTAGCTGTGGCTGTGGAAATAGTAACAAAAGCAGCAATTCCCGGCAGTTGCCAAGAACAAGAGTAACGTAAAGAGATCAACAAGTATGAAAAGCGTAGGCATGAGAGTGAATAATGGACGTTGCATGGATGAAATCAAATATGTAATAGATGTAACACAATCATAGCAAAAGTGCATAAAGAACTGTCGGGAAGTTAAGAGGACAAAATCATAGCAAAAGTGCTCGGAAAAATAGATACATTTGAGACATATCAGGGTGGAGCTTCAAGTTAGCTGGATACTTGCATAACCAAGGAACTACATCAGGATCACTATGAGAAGCATTTGGTTGGTTACGCCGAGGCCTACCTCACCCCACAAAATGTCCTCTCTGTGATAAGGTGGAGGAAACTATTACACCTCTATTGGTTGACCGCGTCTTCTCCCAAATAGGTTTGGATAGGGACCCTTCGATATGTTGGCCTAGTGCACTCAGTAATGGTCCGTCCGGCTCCGATGCGGTGACACCGGCGGGTGCCACCATTCCTTCCTGGAGGGTGTCGGTGGTAGCCATCCCCCACTTCCCTCCGCGTGCCGGGGGAAACCCTAGGACACGTCCGGGCACGTCGTCGACGTCGCATCCCTTCTTGGAGGTGCTGCTTGGTACGCGGCGGATCGGAGCCTCGGGCTGTGGTGGTTTGTTTTCGGAGGGCGCAATGGTGGCGGGTCATCCGCGCTTTGTGGAGCTGCTGTTGTTGGCATTTGTTTCTTCTTTTCCTTTTGGGTTTGATGTGCTGCTCGCCCTAGCAATGCTACGTGTATGGTGTTGGTTGCTTTGGAATACAAAGCGGGGGAAAACCCTTTTTCGGTAAAAGCTTTGTGTCTCAGTGGATTGGTAGAAAGAAGAGTTTGTAGAAGCCTTAAGAAGGGCAACACCCTTTAATTACAGCATGATCCCTCTAATCGCTATACACGACCAACACTTGGAGCAAAGCCGCCAGACCCCTCGCACCCGTCGACACCCATTGCTTGGCTTTGGCCTTGATCATGTCAAGCAGGCGAGCTGTACCGACAATAGCCGAGGATGTGCCTTTTCGGACCAATAAGAGTGGGCATGGGTTGGCCCACTCGCCGCCTGCAACAATGGGGTTAGCCGCTACAACCACAGGCAAGATGAGCATGTGAGTGGCCTGAAGAGACGTCACGGGCACCGCTACCACCCGGTCCGAGCTCAAAGAGCTAGATGGAGCCAGACTACCGGAGGTGCCAGCACTAGCGACACAGTCGGCTGAGCGGATAGCGCCACCTCACGTCATGGAAGCCGCATCCTCTTCATGCTCCGGTTCGCCGTGGAGGCTGCCGGGGGAAGACCTTTCTGGCCCTGCGGGTAGCCGGCACCGGTCGCACCTGTTGAAGTGTATATGTGGATTGCCTAGCCCTCTTCATCAGTTCGGACTTTTGGTTGCATTGGCTAGTGCATGAAGCTTAGCAGCACCACCCGCGCCCTAGCCACTTAGTGCGTTGACGGGGGTGGCGACTACTGCACTGGTTGAGGAGTGGGTGGTCTCGGCTGTTGCGCAAGTGGCTCAGGATGCACAGCCCCACCCCTGGCGACCAGCGCGGCGGCAGGGTAAACGGTGTTGGATGCCCCGCCAAGTTGCGTGCGGAGGACTAAGTCGAGGAAGTGACGGAGGGTGTCCGTGCTGGCTCATCGTCCGACAATGATGGGAGCATGGGAGAAGTAGTCGCTCGCATGTTCCCCAACTCAAGAAAACTCAAAAGTGCCTCGATGCATTTCAGACCCAGAAATAAGTGTTTTTTTATCATTTTCCATGATTAACTGTTAGATTCAAGTGACATATTCTTCTGTTTTATGTAGACTGCTGCAAGCTACCATGCTATCGCCATTGCTCTCTCATTGATGGAAGCTTATTCGTTGAGTGTTCAGCATGAGCAGACAACCTTGCAAATTCTTCGTGCAAAGCTTGGACCAGATGATCTTCGGACTCAGGTTTACTTCTACTAAATGATATTATTTTTGAGAAAACGCATGAGATTATACTAAATGATATTATTGCAATGCTGAAAACCTACTCCCTCTCTTACCAATGGATGTCATTTTAGAATACATTTAGTATAAAAGAATTAACTTTGAGCACTAATATAAACTAATGTATTTTATTTTAAATATGAAAATAATATTAGTAGATTTTCCATCAAAGTACTTCTGTAATACTAATTCTGCATTCGAGAGCCAGTCAATGCCCAAACGGCATCTAGTTAGTAACAGAAGTACCTCGATTCTTTTCCCACTTGAACTATTACCTTTAGCTATATGAAGAGAACCATTCCCTTTTCAATTATTTGCAAGGACAATCTTAACATTGTTGCCTTCCACGTTACAGGATGCTGCAGCCTGGCTTGAATACTTTGAATCAAAAGTAATTGAGCAACAAGAAGCTGCCCGCAATGGAACTCGAAAACCCGATGCATCAATAGCTAGTAAAGGACACCTAAGGTGCGATTTAGTTGTGCTAGCTAGTGCACAGCACATAATCTGGTATCAGTTATCATAGATATTTGGATAATGTACACTGTTTTGGACCATACAGATGCTATAGTAACTGTATTTGTTTGCCCTTGCAGTGTATCTGATCTTCTTGATTACATCAATCCCAACAAAGAAAACAGAGGAAGAGATTCTGAATCAGGCAAGAGGAGGTACTCAAGCATAAAGGTTAGTTGCTAATTTTTACTTCGGCTAAAATTGTTTTCAAGATAATAATTATGTTCTCATTAAGGAACAAGTTTAACTAAGGCAGAGAGAAATAAGAGCTGCGAGATGGTTACCATAGTGTAATAGTATTAAATGAATATTTAACTCATAGTGCAATTGGTCAGTTTCTCAAAGAGAAAAGGGAGACTTACAATTGTTCACAACAAAGTTATTTCTTGTTAATATTGCTGACAGGCAGCAAAAAAGTATATTTCTGTTTACATAATGACTAACTAGATAACATGCAATAATATTTTATATCTTTCTTGGATTGAACCTTTGCCGGTGGCTCTCATTTATTTTGTAGTGTTACCAATATGATTTCTAGAAAGAATTCCTTATTTAACACTATCTTAAATTTTGTTTCCTTATTTGACATTGGAAAACTTTTTCTTCCCTATATAACATCGAGTCTAAATTTTATGCCCTTTATGACACTTTCAGCTGTTTTTCCATCTAATGTTGTTAAATGACACATAAAAAGACATTTTTACCCTTGGTGTAATATGAGCCGGCCATCTGGCGCAAGTCGCCTGCTCCCTGATCCATGCATCCATCCCCGTCGGCTACTAAGCACGACCACGCCAAACACTTGATAGCACTGGCTCAACGGCCACACAACCACGTACGAACGGCCGCAATTAACAACTCATGTGCATGCATGCCAGCACACACTAACCAGCTGATTCTCTCAGTTCCATCTTGATCCATCCATCCAGCCGGCAACTGGCTCAAAAAATTTGGAACTTGGCTATGCACCTAGCAACCAAACCGGCCACATACACACATGCAGTCAGCGATTTGCATGCAGCTACTCAGCTACATACCCGCATACAAAAAACCAAGCCGGCTGGACAAGTATTTCATCATTAGCATTTATTAAATTTTTTGTCATATACCACATGAGGGGCAAAAGGGTCTTTTCATGTGTCATTTAACACCGTTAAGGCTTAAAATGAAGGAAAGTGTTATAAAAGGCATAAAATTTAGACTCTGTCACGTAGGGAAGGAATTGTTTTTTAATGTCAAATAGGGCAAAAATATATAGCACAGTGTTAAATAAGGAATTTTCTCTGATTTCTATTCCTGAGGAGCTCTTATCATGATAGCAGCTCACTGGAATATCTATGGCTAATACTACCCTATCCAATCAAGTAGTATTTGATATCGCTACCATGTAAGTGTGGATGTTAGATAATCTGGTCAGGTAATTTCGATGGTTACTCTGTCTATGTAGTTTCAGTTCTACCAATTCAGACAGTGTTCAAAGTACACAATTCCGGCCCTTCCTGTATATCTGGAACTCAATGAACCTGGTTTCCTTTTTCCACAATGCTAAAAGTTACACTACATTTTTCTTCCATGAAAGCATTCATGTTATCACTCGAGTAACTTGACATTTAGTATTTTAGCATTACTGTACATGGCAGAATTTATTCATTGTATACTCGTCCTGTCAGGTTTTATCACATTCGAGTGAGAATTTAAACATAGAAAGTCCTGATATATCTCCAAGAGATTCTGCTATTGCAATCACAGACGAGGAAAAACGAATTAGGGGGCCTTTGCAAGATGATAGTGCTAAGATCATGGATATTCCTGAAACTGAGGTTAAAGAGAGTCCTTTATCCGTGGAGGCTTCACCACCTTCTGAACAACTGGTAGAGAGAGCTGAGGTGAACATCAGTTCACCTGAGGAAGTTTTTGATGAAGAACAGGATGATGGTTGGCAGCCTGTTCAAAGACCTAAAACAGCTGCAGTTTTAGGAAAACAGATAAAGCATTACCGTCCTGCCATCAGAAGGACGTCTGACCCTGAGAATCATGCTCCAACAGATGCTTCCCAATATAAGCCAAGGAATTCCTATTCAAATAACCGTTATTACTTCTTAAAGAAGAAAACTATTGTACCTGCAGCATACGCAGATCCTCAGCAGCATACGAAAGTCCAGACATCAAGTTCCAGGTTTGGTCGCAAGATATACAAGGCTATGACCTACCGGATTAAGCCAGGGACAGCATCCTCAGAAGTGCAAGATACTTCTAGGCTCACAGAGCAGATGGGTGGTAAAGAAGAATCCCAAATAGCTTATTCACATGTGCACAATCGTTCGGCAGATCTGAAAGGAAGTGAGCCACATGGACCTTGGGTTGAAAGTACCGGAAACCCACCATCATACAAAGATGTTGCATTGGCACGTCCAGGTACAATAGCCAAGACTCAAATACAAAAACGTAAAGATGATGTACTGCAACCATCACTTGGTCAAATTATCGCACAAGAAATGAAGGATTCCTTGGTAGATACAGTTCAAGTGGACCAGAGGTCCGTGTCCTCAAGTACCAATAATTCCAAAGAGGTAAACATTGTGCCAACAGAAATGCAGCATTCAGAACAAAGAGAAGAGTCACATAGGGAACATGAGATTGACGACACGGGGAAAGATAGTTTACCAGATAAATTAACATCAAATACTGAGAAACCTTCTGGCGGTGGCCCTGCAGATATTAAAACAGACACGACCTTACTCAGTAATAACAAAGATCAAGAACCAACAAGTAGTGACAATTTTGGTGCAGCCACTGAGTTCTCAGATTCAACAGTACCCACAGAAGCTGAAAATAGTGGAAAGTCTGGCATACAATTTCTAGAAGAATCTCTACCTACTAATAGTGAACCTATTACAGTTTCAGCGCATACAACAAGTATGCAGGGAGGCGTTGGAGGTGTTGAAAGTAAGAAGTCAAAGCCTGACATGCTTCTAAGTAATATTGATATAAGAGAGATGTCTAATAAGAAGCTATCTGCTGCTGCACCTCCATTCAATCCGTCTCCTCCAGCTATCCTTAGCCCACTTGCTGTAAGTGTCGGTCTCCCACCACCAGGTGCTGTTCCAGGTGTCGGCCCTTGGCCTATGAATGTCTCCATGCATCCTGGACATTCAAATATGGTGCCAAACGGTCCTCCGCTGTGCACATCCCCACATCATTTGTACCCTCCTGCTCCTCGGTCTCCTAATCTCTTGCATCATGTGCCATTTCTTTATCCACCATATAGTCAACCGCAGATGGCTCCAAGCAGCACATTTCCCATGAACACCACTATTTTTCGCCCTAACCATTATGGATGGCAACCTTACATGAGCCCAGCTGCATCTGAGTTTGTGCCTGGACCAGCATGGTCAAACAATCATCCAGTCGCTTACACCCCCAGCCCACATGTTGCTGACACTATTTCTCAGTCTTTAGCAGATACACATGTTCTATCTGATGCAGCTGTTGTTAGTATAGGACCTTTGCTGGACAGCAATATGGTTGCAGTAAGGGAGGAAGTGGAGGTCCCTGTGGAGGTATGCAGTGGTAATTTGATCAGCAATAAATTTTTGGGAGAGGAACATGACAAAGAGTTAAAGGATGCTGTTAATGCTGCACTTAATCCTGACAAGCCAGGAGATAGCATATTTGATATTGGTGGAACGAAGCTGGGAGGCAGCATGAAGAATGAAGATGAGGGTAGCTTTAGGATATTTGTAAAGGGGAAAGGCAGGCGAAAGCAAACTCTGAGGATCCCGATAAGTTTGCTTAACAAGACATATAGTTCACGTTCCTTCAAGCTTGACTTCAACAGAGTAGTCAGAGAGAATGACATCTTCATGCCATCGGGCGTTTCTTTTGCTGAAGTAGTTTCTTCTGGCAACTGAGAAATATTCCACCAGAGTCAAATATTGACCTATACCATCATTACCCAAAGAGAATTACGATGGATCTCTCATTTGAAAGATACTGAAAACTCTTATTTTTGTCTGAGCATTCGGAAGGCAGCAACAGTGCTCCTTCAGTGTTACAGGTAATCATTTTTACCAATATTGTAAGAACTCTTTGCTCCCCAATAATTTTCTTTGCTCCCCTATTATAGATCTCAATCATCTAATATGCTAGGTGTCGCTTTTCAATTTTCTAGATCTGAAATTCTTCAATCCAAGCTACTCTGAAAAAATCGATGTGTTTTGTTTCCACTTCAAATCAGGTATGGCTCCCTTCTCAGTAATCATTTTAGCCTGTTACATGTTGAACTTGTTTGTACCCCATATACGGATCAGTTTTGGGTGTAGTTCTTGGTAATGACTACATCTTGTTATAAGCATATATAAAAAGATTAGTGTTCTTTGAAGCACCTTTGGGACCTTCACAGATACGACGCATGTAAGAGAGGGTTATTTTCTCAGTTCAGCCTATGTTAAAAGTACAAAGTTTCCATGTTACATCTTTCATCTATGTATTAATAGTAGCATATTGTAGCATCTTTCATCTATCAAAGTTCAGCCTATGCATATTATAGTGACACTTACTTTGGGGCGGAGGGAGTATTTATTTGCAGCTTCCAAGCTACTTTTTCTTGTAGTGACGTGTTAGCTAACTGTTCTCTGTTCGCACATTGCTCTCAGATGTCGACAATTCCGTGTGGAGTGCAGAAGATTGCAGGGAGTTTTGCGAGATCCGAAACTAATACAAGACGGATGTGTTAGCAAAAAGATACATGGCAGACTGATTCTTTTCTACTCCGTACAATTTTGATAGACTGAGTAGAATGCTTTCCTCAAAAAATTGGGCTGAATTTTGGTCGTATGGAACTTAGGTTCTAGAAATTTAGAAATTGGTTTGCTCACTGCATCGTAATAATCTCTTGCGTCTTTTGTGAGAGAAACTGATGTTATTCTTTTGATGAGAATAGTAACAAGAGTATCTCCAGCAGTTCTTCTCTCCCCCAATAATTTTCTTTGATAGAGTTTGACCAAAAAAGTACTCTAGCAGCTACCCTTTTCCAATAAATTATTGATGATCATTCAAAAGGGTCCATCGACACCTCCGCCACATATTCAATGCGGGTCTCGTCGACGGGCAGATAGCTCAAACTGCCCACTAGTAACTTACATCAGTAAAGACTACTCACATTGGGGAGTAACTCATTATAAAAACTTTTCCCCGCTTTATATTATAAAGCAATCATCCAATACATCCAACTCGCTCGGACCGTAGCATAAACAAGGCTAAAAAAAGAGAGAGACATATGCCAACACCGGCAGACCGACGAAGAGAAGAAGACCAACAACCGCTGCACCCACTGGAGAAGTGCCATTGCGTCCCCAACATTTTGAAGTGTCGCGCACCAAGTAACACCTTCAAGAAGGAATGCGACGACGCCGTCGCTGTTGCCCGAACATGTCCTAGGGTTTCCCCCGGTACGCGGGGGCAGTGGGGAAGGGATATACCCGACGCCCTTCAGGAAGGTCCGGCGGCGCCCGCAGGCGTCACCGCGTCGGTGCCGGGCAAGCCACCAGGGATTTCTTCCGATCCACAACCACCACCACCACCCTAGGCACTTTGTAGTGCACCACCCACTCAGCCGCCCACCAGCCTGTGCCCCAGGGATTTCTTCCGATCCACAACCACCACCACCACCCTAGGCACTTTCTAGTGCACCACCCACTCAGCCGCCCACCAGCCTGTGCCCCCACGGTTACCGAACCATCATCGCCGTCTCTCTGGAGCTGCCAACAGGAGGCCTGGAGAGGGAAAGGAGACAACGGCCACGGGCGACCACCACTCGACCGGGGGGAAGGGACAACCTCCACCGCATGTGCGGAGCCGATCGGGCGCGGCGACAAGGACTTGCCAGGCCCCGACGGCCTGGCAGGGCCCACTTGGGCCCGGACAGTCCCTGTCACCTCGTTGCAACTCGCTGACCGACGTGGTGATTACCGCCCGCAGACTGTCGCCGCCTCGCCCCACCACCAGGGAGCGACGCCGTCGAGCGCCGAGCCATCGGCCCGCCCCAACCCAGATGGGGCCCAAACGGGCCCATATCTAGGCCGGGCGGGCGCCGCTAGCCCCCAGCGCCACCGCGCCGCCCCACGACCAACGGTCGTGCTGCCGCGTCGAGAGCCACCATGGCACGCGACACCGCCGTCGGCCGAAAGGCATCGCCGCTAGCCGCCACCGCCCGAGAAGGGGAATCCATGCGTGGGAAAGGATAGACCCGTCGCCGCCAGCACCACGCAGGCAAAGGCCCGACGGCACTCGTTGGCGGCGGCGGGAGGAGGGAAGGGAGAGGGAGGAGCGCTGGAGGGAGGAAGGAAGGAGCCCCCGGTCGCCTCGCTCGGGGTGATGTGGGGGACGAGAGGGTCTGCCTTTCACTAGTCCAGTGGGGGGTAACTTAGAGTAGTAACATGCATGCATATGTTACTACTCTATGTTACTACTCATACGGTTCTTTTTAGTCTGCATATAAGTTTTATCCGAAGTCAAAGTATCTCTACTTTGACCAAACTTATGGAAGAAAGTATCAATATTCACGATGCCAAATCAATATTGTTCGATTCATTGTGAAATGTAGTTTCATAGTATGTATATTTGGTATTGTAGATGTTGATATTTTTTAATATAAATTTGGTCAAACTTTGCAAAGTTTGACTTGACACAAATCTCATACGCGAAGTAAAAAGGACCGGAGGGAGTACCTCTATAGTGGGGAGCAACATAAGCGTGGTGTCATGCAACACTTCATTATTAGCTTGTAGACTCATCCTGTCTTGGTATGTGTGATGTTACTCCTATTATGAGAAACTAGTTATGTTACTCAAATCATCTCTCTCTTCATTAAATCATTGCCACATAAGCAAATTTGATGAGTTGGACCTTATGTTACTCCTACCTTTACTATAATGGGGAGCAACATATGTGTGGTGTCATGCAACACTTCATTCATTAGGTTGTAGACTCATCTTATTTTGGTATGTGTGATGTTACTCATGGTGTGAGTAACTAGTTATCTTAATCAATTTGTCTCTTTCATTAACTAGCTGTTACATCATCTTTTTTGCTTAGACTACCCATACTGGGAGTAACATAGAGTGTAACATAGATGACACCTAAGCAAAAAAAGATGATGTGGCAGCTAATTAATGAGGAGAGAGACAAATTGAGTAACATAGCTAGGACTACCCACTGCGGGAGTAACATAGATGGTGACATCACACTTATCTAGACAAAATAGATGGCTTGACAAGTAATTAATGATGAAAGAAAGGCATATAGTAACATAACTAGTTACTTATACTATGAGTAACATTACACATACCAAGACAAGATGAGTCTACAACCTAATAAATGAAGAGTTGCATGACACCACACATATGTTACTCCCCACTATAGAGGTAGTTAACATGGACTAGTAACATATGCATGTTACTAGTCTAAGTTACTCCCCACTGTGGGTAGTCCCCAAGACAAGATGAGTCTACAACCTAATAAATGAAGTGTTGCATGACACTACACATATGTTACTCCTCACTATAGAGGTAGTAACATAGACTAGTAACATGCATGTTACTAGTCTAAGTTACTCTCCGCTATGGGTAGTCTGTGTCATATATGTTACTCCCACTCTAGGTAGACTAAGAGGAAGTACAATAGTGGGCTATAAGTATGCTTACATGACTTTTTTGCCTATGTCGAGGAGAGAGATAAGGTAAGGGGAGTAAGAGCCTAGCTATATACGTACTCCTAGGAAAATACAATAAATGTGAAGAGGAGAGAGATGAGGTAAGGGGAGCTGTAAGAGCCTAGCTATATACGTACTCCTAGGCAAATGCAATAAATGTGAAGAAAGAGAAAGAGAGAAGTAGAAAAAAATACTAATGTAATAGTCAACCTTATAGCCCACATTCCTATATGAGTGACTATAAATGATGGCTATAGATGACATAACAGTTTCATATCGCCATCAACTAGGTATAATATTAATCATACTCAATGTGACGGTGGTACGAAAACAACTCGATGCTATATCCTCGAGGACCAATGCAGGAATACTAGTGCCTCCATGGATTGATACCTTGGTTTCTCACTAAGAGAAAGATTGTTGGATACTATAAACTCCTACGCTTAGGAGCTTTGACTGCAATATGTTTTGCTTCACTTTTATTATCTTCCTTGTTTTATATCTTGTCTAGTTGTAGTTTCTTATTCTTGTCAGTGTATTTAATTTGCAGAGTTATCAAAAACTCCAAAAAGATTTATAGTTTCATCCCTTAGTTACTTTCTTGCTTAGTAGTTGTAATTAAAATCTTGGGAAAGATTCCCACACGTGAGATAAAAATTCTTAGTTTTAAAGAAAGGGTGAGAAGAGAGAGTTTAAAAGATGCTTGGGGTTAGGATATGAATTCAAATGATGATGCTACAACCAAGTGCTTACCAACTTTACTCCTTAGAAATTTCTACATTAGATTATCAGCTCGGTTCAAACATGTGCTAGACACCCTTTCAGGAGTAAAACTTCCTAGGTAGTAATGTCATGGATTCCTTTTGGCCACCGGGATGATGAAGATGGCCTCTGGTGATGATTTCCCCCTCCGACAGGGTGTCGGAAAAGGGATGTAGATGATATCATGTAGGTATAGAGGCTTGCGGCGGCGGAGTCAAAGTTCTAGGGTTATTTCTGGAGGTTTCTCTATTTATAGGATTTTTTGGCGTTGGTCTCACGTCGAGATGGGCTAAGATGGGCCCATGAGGCACCACGGCACCATCACCCCCCTGGGCGTGCCCTGGTGCCTCGTGTGCACCTCCTGGCTCTTCTATCCCTCCTACGAAGCTTCGGGGGTTTCTTTTGTTCCAAAAAAATCGTCAAAAAGTTTCATCCCAT